GGCGCTAACCCTCTTCGAGTGGGGGTGTGTGAGTGATCTTTTGCCGACTGTTGTTTGGTAATTTTGCCGAGTCATTAGCCTATAGTGAGGGTCCTGAAGGGGGGGGGGGGGTCCCAACCCCATTTTCCACCTGAAATTTTGGCAAAATCCCAGTCCCAGTTGGATTTTTATTAGAAATCCCAGTCCGAGTTATTGAAATCCCAGTCAATAAAAAACCCTTTATTTATCGGTAGAATAAACAGTTTTAAGACCTTTTAAGCCACCGTGTGTGCAAGTGGCGGACATTTTATGAAATATTGGGGGGGAGGCTCGTGCCGAAGGCACCGAAAATTTTTAAATTTGAATCCCGGAAATGGCATTTGCATCATTCTGAGACACGCATAATCAGAAAACCCAAAATTCCGGGCGCCAGAGTATGCCTGTTCGCAAGTAATGCTGTGAATAATATAGTTAACAACAAAAACCATGACTAAAGACACCAAAAACGGATCACAATTGGGAATCGACTCACATTACTTCAATCCCATTCCCAATTTTGAGGACTTCATTTCCTATTCCCAGTGGCCAAATCCCAGTCCCAGCAACACAAATCCCATTTTCCCAGTCTAAAAATAGATCAATCCCAGTTCCCATTTTACCCCTTCAGGGCCATCTATAGTAAATGTGCATGTTTAAATGCGCTTTATTACCCTCTATTAAGTCGGTTTTCCACTAGCGAATTTTTCTGCGCGAAGCGATCTTTTTCCTTTGTCGGCATCCATTTTGCATCCCTCGAAAAGTCAAAACCGTCAAAATTGAGGTCGGCAAAATCTGACCTAGGTCGGCACATCTCGGCATTTCTTAAAATCTGTTTCACGTCTTGGAGCACTATTAATCACGCATTTACGAATCATTGAAATCGGAATATAACTGGAACGTTACCTCCAGCCGGAAAATTCGAAAATTCGAAAAATCTTCAAACATCTAACGTATATACACAATACCCGTCAGTTTTTAAACCTTACACCGTATTGTCTTCAGTTAATCGAACTACGAATCGAATTCTATAGTCGCTGACATTTTAAAAACCATCAGCATAAAAAAATTCTTACTTTGGTTGAATTAAGGTGGGCAAAAATTGACATTTAGGCCGGCATTGCCGAATGCCGACCTCGTTTTCGAGGACTGATTTTACCACGTCTTGCTGACGTAATAAGTGATACCGACAAAGGAAAAAGGTCGCTTCGTGCGAGAAAATTCGCTAGTGGAAAACCGATTTATTGCCTCTTTTATAGAACAGTATAATAAGCAACAACAGAAGTGAAGATACTGTATTCGAAAAAACTTGCATTGCTACATGTGTGGTTTCTTTGATGCATGCTATTCGTGATATTCGATTTGAATTCAATTATTCAGGAGGTCAATTTGGGTTTCTTCAGTGGTTATCTTCAGCCAATCCAGTTTTGCCGACTGAGATATCAATTTGCCGATTAACTGCCGGTGGGGGGGGGTGTTCCACCCCTCCCCCACCCCCCACCGCCCCTGTAGCGTCGCCCCTGAATTCAGATTCAAATATGAGCTAAATTGTTTAAAAACAGTTTTCAATTTCAATTCATGTGAAAAACGCACGACGTTCGAAGTGCAGTTGTGGTGAAAAAGGCAACCTGCTGCCCCGATGCTGCCCCCGCACTGTTTAGGCAACGGTGGCAGCCGCCCCCGCTGCCCCCTGGCTCCGGCGCCCCTGAGCCACAAGATATTTCGCTGGTGTTTGATCCATCAGAATTGTACAAAATACCTTATTCAATGACAAAAAACTTTCTAGCTCTAATTCTAGCTTTTTCAAATTGAAAGAACAGGGAAAGCCGTAATGAGTAGAAATAAACAGATTCCTGTTGATGAGTTGATTGTTACTGGATTTTGTAAAAAAATATATTTTTATTCTCGAAAGCCTGTAATATGGAACATTTCTATATTTTATGAAAGTCTTTAGGAAAGGGTTGCACTGTTTTGGTGAATTTTTGTGTGATATAGGTATTTGGATATCACTAATTAACTCATCTTGTGCAAAGGATAGAACCAAAACGTTAAAAATAAGTGTGTTCCATATACGATAATCTTCTGTTTAGATGCTTAGTCATTTACTTTTTTAGCATAAATATCCAATGTTTCTATGGCAAAGTACGTCAGTAGACAATTTTCCACTAGTAATGCCATAAACATCATATGAAAATTGCTAGTTTGGAACAATGAGGCAAAGTTCGGGCGATAATGATTGTCAACACTTTAATCTTGATTTTCTCAAATTGATGATTTTATTGTAAACACGAGCAGTAACAATGATAACTCAAAGGGAATTTGATAGATTTTGATAATATTTGGGCTGAACATCGACCTTATATTATCAAAATATATGCAATGATTGGTCAGTTTTGTATATATTAACCATTTGTTCCTTTGTTGCCATGGAAATTGATTTTTCACGTTTTCGTACTTGGCAATCAACTCAAACAAAATTCCAACTATTCATTGCACAGCTTTTAACCTAACCAACAGTCTTACAAAGTTTGGTGTTAATATGTATTTTTCCCTGTAAGTTATTATTGTTGGCAATGAGTACGTTATGTATGTATATTTGTTTGTTGTTGTCATGGCAACCGAGGTTGATACTGTGCTTCGACCAACCTTAATATATGTCACACCCTTACGCCTTTGTGCCAAATTTCAATGTGATTGGTTGGATACTTTTGAAAATAGAGCCTGAAGAGTGTTTTAGTATATTTAAGGTTAACTATCGCCTATCTTAATGTCGATATATGCCTTTCAGCGAGCTGACCTTCATATATTCTATTTTCGCATGATTACATAGTCAAATACTTATTAAGACCTTTTTGCAAAAAAAACACTAACATAATACCAGTGGAACAAGAAAAATAAAAATAAAAATAAAAATTAAAAATTATTAAATTTATCAAAGTTTAAAAGAAATATCTGATCTGTTGATCATCTGCTGGAGATAGCATACGCTTCCCGTTCTTTGATGATCGACATCCCAAATGACACGACTTATTCTTTTTCTCACACACACTGACTCTGCAGTGAACACGTGTGCTGTAATGACTTAAGCCACGGAAACGGAACACCAGGAAGCTAAATCTTGTTGTGTGTCCTGATGATTGATGAAATTTCACGGTTTTGTCCTTTTGGCATCTACACATAAGAATACACCCATGAAATGAAATAAATGTAATTTGAATAATGCGTAAAATAAAGTTTTACTGGACTAGCATAATGTACAGGTATATAGGATCGAATTAATGGATTTTAATTTTTTTGCTTTGTATTCATTATCAAGGTTATTAATATCGAACGGTCTGGAACAACATGAATTATGTAGAAAAGAAGGAATCCACACGAATCTACACCGGCGCTACATATTACATGCATTAGCAAACATTCTTCATTCAAATAGTTCAAACTTTTCGCTCAACTTACCCTCGTTCAATCAAGATATATTTATATTCAGCCAAGGGACTCTTTGAAGTGACGTAACATTCATTTAACTTGAATCCAAAAGATGACTTCTCCGAACTCGAGTTTGTCGCGTTCAGTCCAATTTCAACATACAGGCGTTCGTTCAGTGATGGATCTCCAACAAGTGATTTACTAAATGACTGGTCTTTATAAAGCCCCATTGTTACCGACATGTTACCTTTTCCACTAGCATTGTTTTCTGAGACGGAAAGATTAATGAGACCAAATTTTGAGGATGAGACAAGATAACTTTGGGGGTAATTACATTTGAACGGAAAATGGATTTCTTTAGATCTTGAGATCGATTTATCAAATCCTGGCAATCTCTCAACAACTTTGTTATGGAATGAAACTGTTTTGCCGTCATGTGCAGATAACAAAGTTGTACCGCACGCAGTGAGTGAAGTAGTGAAGACGTAATACAAATTCGTCTCCTTAGGTTTGCATGAGCTGTCAAGTAATTGTAGTTGGGAAGCTGAAGAAACGTTGAGAAGTGATTTCTGAATAAACATCTTCATTTTTCTCTCACCACAGATCAATTTATCTATTATGAAAATAATATTTGTTTTCAGAATATATTTAAATATATAATTAATAAATATACAAAAACCACTCTATTAATATCCAGGTCCTTTTTGAAGAAATCGTCAGTGGGGAGGGGGCGTGAATCAATGAAAAAGGATGACACAGAAGAAAAATGTTTTCTTGGTAAAAATTTTGATGATCCCAGTATTAAAAATTACAAAAAATTTACCTAATCTAATATTAATTTAAAAAAAAAATACACCCATCACCGTTGCCAAAAATGTACCACTCAGTTCCCACGCATGTCCCTTAACCTGTTGATATATCTGATGATTTATCATTTGAAAGCCCTATGGCTTATTCCCCCTTGATACAGTATTCTCTTGCGATAAATGCATGATAAATATTTACATGAAATATAATCTTAATTTGAAAGTATCTTAATTTAGAAGTATCACAATGACATTGCCTTTGCAAGGGACGCGGACCCAGACTGTGGCAATAGTCTCATTATAGGATCAATGCTTTTCATTCGGATGTAAAATAGGTAACTAGCAAATGCGCGCGGTGATCCTAAATCAAGCTAATTTAAATTAATGAAACACTGCTTTTTTGTGAGAGGAATAGTTTGTAAATCCAAAGGGATAGGTTGTAAATCGAAAAACAGTTGGCCTCTGAATACCTCCAAACGATTTGGCCACAAATTAATATAAGTTTATAGGCGATCGCATTGAACAATAATATATACCATGCAGGGATCCTTTTAGGAATTCGTCGGTGGAGGGGCTATCAACGAAGTGGGAACTAACTAGGTGGTAATAAACATACAAAGTGCAAACTTGCAGCGGGATGTAGGGGTTTATCCACAAAATAATTATAGTATTCCTGAAGTTCTGGGGCTTGATTTTTCACATTTTCAGTCACAACTTTTTCACAACAATATATGGGCTGCGGGGAATAAGCCA